CAATATTTTAATTATAAATACGTGTACATATACACGCAGTATATATATATATATATATATATATAAGTTTTTGGAAAGACACATCAAGTATTTTTTTTTGGTTGCAGCTATGTGGATTGAATCAATTGGTTACTCTTTCTATGCATATCTGTATAGAAGTGGATCTGTCCTTATGTATTATTCTCGTTGAGCTAGCTCCCACGGACACAAGAGGTGGTGTATAAAAGTGGATCTGTCCTTAAGTATTATTCTCGCTGAGCTAGCTTCCACGGACACAAGAGGTGGTTGTATTTTATTTTTCAGAGGAGGTGGCTCAAACCGGCTTGTGACTGTATATTTCATCAACGATACAACGTCTATATTTTCAATTATATGCGCCCGTCGATTTACTTTCAATTCGTATCATCCACGGAATGCATGATTATTAGGCCTACATCGATGGGAAATGGGTGGATGCAGATTCGAAGGCCACTTTCAAGTATGCTTTTTGTTTGCATTTTTCTCAGTGGTGCAGTTTCCATTACATACAATCACAAGACTCTCTGTATCGGGAGATTATAAACAGTTATTCGGTGCTATAGATGCAATGTCAACACCTAAATGCACTAAATCCTGTCTTGTCGGTGTCACTACAATCTGTATACGTGATATATAAATGTCATCATTCCATCATCAGTATTTGCTGTTTGCAGACCTTCCGTACAATGCCTTCCGCATACCCACGACATAGGATTCGATTACATACGCATGGCTCAATAGTAAGCGCCATTATACATATCGTATTAACTTCAACGGCCAAATCCATTAATAACACAGTGTGACCAACCCGGCAAACGGAGACATCATTGCGGATGTACCGGACATGGGAGCGGGTGAAACGCACAGAGCGATCGCTGCGGCTAAAGCGGCGCTGCCCGTGTGGGGCGCTTGGTCACCAATGGACAAGTAAGTACAGCGGTCAGGATAGAATTTGACTGGCCGGATTTGTTCATGTATATGCATGGAGCTATACTTGTGATTGCAGACACACACATATATATATATATACCTATATGTATATCCGTGTACGCCCACACCACACTACATCGGTTGGCTGTTGCAAAACTTTCGGGCTTCCAAGTGCGGCCGCTGCCGTTGCGTTGCTATACTGACCCACGCTGCTGTTTGTTTTGGGTGTATATAGTTAATTGCTGTATCTATCTACCCCACACATGACCCTCTGGTGTGCTTGTCATCGCTGCCTCGGTTGTGAACGCGTGACGTGACGCACGTGTCTTCGCGTAATCGGCCGGTGCATTGCAACTCACCACGAACACGCAAACGTACTGCACAGATCGAAATCGTTAAAACACTGGCACTCTAAGGTGATAGAGCACGCAGACCACAACTCACCACGAATACTCAAACGTACCGCACGGATCGAAAGCATTAGAACACTGGCACTCTAAGGTGATAGAACACGCAGACCACAACTCACCACGAATAATCAAACGTACCGCACAGATCGAAAGCGTTAAAGCACTGGCACTCTAAGGTGATAGAGCACGCAGACCATCTCGCTCAGATTATATCCCGCGAACAGGGCAAACCACTGGCCGAAGCAAAGGGGGAAGTTCTGTACTCTGCTGGATATATTGGTATGTCGCGGCTCCTGATTCCAGACTGCACCCCGTTTGTGCATAGTGGACTAGGTGCGGGTCCTTCGCGCGTGCTTGTACCTCGAATGAACACACACGCGTGCTGTAGACACTAGTTGTCAGAGCTCAGCACTACTGGGACCCACACGCATTGTCGTCTTATACTGTGCCTCACAGAATGGTATGCGGAAGAGACCAAACGCATATACGGAGATATCCTACCACACAATACCAACGGTCGCCGCCTGCTCGTGTACAAACAACCGGTGGGTGTGTGCGGTTTAATCACTCCCTGGAATTTCCCTGTGGCCATGGCTGCCCGTAAAATAGCCCCTGCGCTGGCCGCAGGGTGTACTGTGGTCCTCAAGCCAGCCGAGGTATGCACACGTGAGTTCGGTACATTAATATACTATCTAGCGCAATGTATGTCGCGCTTAAGCATGCTACAGTGAGTAGCTTCACACACTCTTTCCATCACTACGTTTTGAGGGGGGGTTGTTTGTCTGCATCACAATGTGCGATATATACTAGTACGCCCGAGAAAATTTTAATATTAACTGGGTTTGAGAGTTTTTTTATAGCGTACACAGCTTCCATGTATCTGAGTCAGCACGTCTCAAATTTCACTTTTCTGGGTTTGAGCGATCAATTCTCCCTGTCATATGGTATCTCACCCATGGGTGAAAAAAACATCAGCAATACGTTGTACCATCAGCAATACGTTGATACTCTATCGTCTCACGCGTGGTATCGAATATATTACAACTGAGTCCCTCATCACTGCGCGTCAGTTCTAAACCCGATGACATACTCCGTTTCACATCCAGGACACCCCCCTCTCGGCCATTGCGCTGATGAAGTTGGTCGAGATGTCTGATCTGCCGCCGGGGGTTGTGAACTTGGTCACGTGCCAGAAGAGTAGTTCGCCAGCCGTAGGTGGGGCGCTCACTTCGAGCCCAGATGTTGCAAAGGTACGCCGATGTGGGCGTAGTATACCAGTGTAAGACACTATAGTGCTCATGCTATCTCAGGCAAGTGGTAGGCACACCTGCACATGTGATTATGTGCCAGCCATTTTAATAGCAGTCACCACCGAGAATCTCACACGTAGAAAAATGGATACTCGACTGTCTACTGGCCGACTGAACATTGACGTAGTCTCTCAAGTTAAAGGCCAAATCAGTAGTGCGAAGGCTTGCAATTGTCTCTTCCCGCCCAGTCACCCGCTGGTGGGGACTTTATAAGTTTTGCTGGGTGTATAATACTTATTGAGTATACGTCTATAATATTTATTGAGTATACATTTATAATATTTATTGAGTATACGTTTATAATATTTATTGAGTACACGTCTATTATATTTATTGAGTATGCGTCAAGCCCCAGACGTATGGTTCAAACGGATCAAGCTCACGCGTACAGCACCAACAAACAAGTATGAAGATACCAGATGGCCATCGCAAGCGTGAGTTCTGCCGACAGGAAACACCTGACATAATCAAAACCCAATCACACCACCCTCGTCGATGCACGGCCCCTTCCACCCAAACCTAAACCGCAAACCGCAAACCATAAACCCTACGCTTCTCTCTCCTCTGCGAACAAGCATAGATCTCGTTCACTGGCTCTACGGGTGTGGGCAAGCTACTGATGAAGCAGAGCAGCGACACAGTCAAGCGCATGTCCATGGAATTGGGCGGCAATGCATCGTTCATTGTGTTTGACGATGCCGACCTCGACGCCGCGGTGGCCGGTGCGATTGCCAGCAAGTTCAGAAACTCTGGGCAGACCTGTGTGTGTACCAACCGGTAGGTAATGAGGCTGCCTGTGTGTGCTTCTACCGGGTCGGTTATGAGTATATTTGTCAAGAATGCAGTTAGTGACTCACAACCACGGCACAAATGGGCTTGGATGGGATTTGCGCGTGCCGTTAACGTGCTCACGTTTTGTATATACGCGTATACAACCAACACCCTCTGGCTGACTATTTGTCCTGTCCTGAATCTGATCAGGTTCCTTGTCCAGGATGGTGTGTACGAGGCCTTTACTAAGAAGCTGACTGCCGCTGTTAATGAGTTGGTTGTAGGCAATGGGCTAGACGCGGGTATGTGGGGTTTTCTGTATATGACGGTGGTTTTTTTAATCGTCTGAGATCTACTATACGGCTATAATAGCAGGCGATGTTGTGTTTCTGTTGTATGGTGGGGTTGTCGTGGTGCTTGGCATGTCGCTAAACCATAATAGAGTGGGTGTGCATTAGTTTTGACAGATAACTTATCGATCGCATTTGCTCTCCACCTCACTCAACGACTCAAACATTGATGAAAATCGACGTACAAATCACGTTGTAGTACTTACGCAAGTGCCCCATGGGGTGCTCTCGTTAACAGTACCATGGTATATGTTGGTTATAGACATAGAGCGCGAGATAAGAGTAATGTACAGCATGGTGTGTGTACTTGAGTCAGTACAAAAGAAGGCGGCTGATTCCCCATCATGTGCGCAGGTGTCATTACGAGGCGAGGGTGCCCCTCTACGGCGATTCATAATGTTATCCGTGGTGTACATACTTAAGTTTTAGTCACGAGGTATATACTGAGGTTACAATCTATATGCTCGGAAAACGATGTACATATCTGATACTAGCATTGTGCATCTAGCAAAGGGAGCTCACGATGCGAGTTACTTAGTACCAACCGAAATACGACGACCCAACAATGTTTCGACCCCAATTACGGTGCAGTTACATGAAACAACCGCACGCCTTCTATCGCCTGCCGCCCGAACGGTGACTTAACTTACGGCGTGTACGTTCTCCTGTGTAGGTACCACACAGGGACCGCTGATCAACAAAGCGGCGGTAGAGAAAGTGGAGAAGCACATGGCCGACGCACTGGCCAAAGGCGCCAAGGTGGTGACGGGAGGAAAGAACAGTGCCGTGGGTGAACTATTCTACGAGCCCACTGTGCTAACCGGGGTGAGTGTGTAGTGATCGCTGAGAAGTCTGGTGTTGCTCTGTTTCACGTACTACGTACAGAGGTTCGGTACCGGTGTTATGGATCGTTTGGCGGAGGCGGACGTAGGTAGTGCGGATGTGTCTGTGTGTTAGTGATGCTTGGTTGTTCTTTGTCCATTGGGTGAGATCAGCATGAGCTGTTGCATGCGAATGATTGCGTATCAGTATGAGCTGTTGCATCCGCATGATTGCGTATCAGTATGAGCTGTTGCACCCGAATGATTGCGTATCAGTATGAGCTGTTGCATCCGCATGATTGCGTATCAGTATGAGCTGTTGCACCCGAATGATTGCGTATCAGTATGAGCTGTTGCATTCGGATGATTGCGTATCAGTATGAGCTGTTGCATCCGCATGATTGCGTATCAGTTTGAGCTGTTGCATCCGAATGATTGCGTATCAGTATGAGCTGTTGCATCCGCATGATTGCGTATCAGTATGCGCTGTTGCATCCGCATGATTGCGTATCAGTATGCGCTGTTGCATTCGATGATTGCGTATCAGTATGAGCTGTTGCATACGAATGATTGCGTATCAGTATGAGTTGTTGCATTCGGATGATTGCGTATCAGTATGAGCTGTTGCATCCGAATGATTGCGTATCAGTATGAGCTGTTGCACCCGAATGATTGCGTATCAGTATGAGCTGTTGCATCCGGATGATTGCGTTTCTCGCTAGTTGAACAACTGTTATGTAAAACGACATGCAATACTCTTGGTGCAGAAATTCCATTGGCACACGCGCAAGAAGTGTGTGAGTGACCTACTCGAACTACACACTCGAACCACACAAACCAGATCCAGAAGGCTCAATACTTTCACCTACGCGCACCGTTTGACAGGTGACAACTGACATGCTGGTGTCCTCTGATGAAACTTTCGGACCACTTGCCCCGTTAATTCGGTTCACTACGGAAGAGGAGGCCATCGCCCTTGCCAATGACACGCTAGCGGGACTAGCCAACTACTTCTACACCAAAGACAATGCGCGTATCTGGCGTGTGAGCGAAGCTCTGAACAGTGGCATGGTTGGTATGTGGTGTGTGTTTCGTATATCTGTGAGCCTGTTGATAGGACACCCAGTTGTAGCGATTCAAGAGGTTACCCGGGTTTATCACATGGGGTTGAGCGTTCATTGAGTCTGTTTCCGGGGTTAAGGATTCGGCTCTACACCATCGATCATGATTAAGACAATCCATCATACGTGCGTTTTACTGCCTAAGACGGTACATCTTCTGCCCACACCAATTAACCCCCCCAGGTGTCAATGAGGGGATAATCTCCACCGAACTCGCACCATTTGGCGGCGTAAAGCAGAGTGGATTTGGCCGAGAGGGCTCTAAATATGGAATCAACGACTACCTAGATACCAAGTAAGTTATTGGAGTGACGCCGTCATTTCGTCCCGTTTATTTGAGTGGGCGTGCTGTAGCAAAATGTCATGCACCCAAAAGTAGCATTGGTGGATGGGCGTGTGAAGCGAGATAGAGTTTTTGTTTTTGTTTTTGTTTGCCTCAGCGATTCCCTCATTATATCTCGTCGTTGAATTGTGTGCCTGGAGATGGCACCTACCAGCACGTGCACATAGCCATATTGCGCTTCAAAGGGACCGTTTCTCGTTTTAGTAGGACATGAAGTATTAGTCCGTTCCGTTGGTCGTTGCAATTAGAAGTCCCAACTAATTCCATCTTGCTAATCACAACGCATGTATTGCATCTGGTGCACGCAGGTATGTGTGTGTTGGGCAGATAGAGTAGCAACCACTGCGCCCCAGGCAGTGCCCAGGCGCAGGAGAAGACAGACATACGACGAAGAATATGATGCGGCTGGGTGAATACCGGCAAGGTCGAGATATTTAGATGATTGTCATTTGTATGGTAGAGATGCCGGCAACGAGATTGTCATTTGTATGGTAGAGGCTCCAATATAAATCATACATGACGACTTCAATGCAATATTGTCGCCTTGACTGCTAGCCTATGTCCGCCCGTGCGCGCTTGAATCTGTACAGATAGATTAGCCTGTTGTGCTGTTCCTACGTACAGACGTAGAAACTTCGCGTCCCCCGTTACAGTTGACAAACACGCTCTTGGCTTTAAACCCACCCAGATTAATTGGCTTTAGCTTACTTCTTTATAAGTGCCAGGTATACTATACCCCCTATACTGAGCGTGCACGCAGCAGTGGTTATCCGCACACATGCGTCTAATCGGAGCTGCAATCGGTGTACTTCTTCTCCCAATAATCTCGTGCACGCTTCCAATACTTCCACGCGCTGTTCCTGGTCCGCTTCTGATGGTATGGATAAAGGTCACGGAAGAAATTATAACCATATTGATTGGTAGAAAATATATATAAGG